TTCATAATGTTTTCACATAACGAACGCCAAAGCTGCTTCTAAGTACGTATGAACATTTCAACAAAAGGAGAAAAGAAAACAGAGAGAGAGAGAGAGAGAGAGAAAAAAAACGGGACGAGACGAAGCACTCGTGCTAATTTGTGAAATTGGAATTCCTCCTTTCAAAATGTTTCTAAGCGTTTTTTATGTTCATTCTTGTTCACACGCACGCACACACCACGCACATAAATACAAGTCAGCCATTGGTGTTATTTATACGCAGCATGGGGTCCCTTCCCAGATTTGTAATTTAATCGACATGTCGAACGGAAAGGATAGTGTTCTCAGCTCTAACGCGGCTGTTGCCAAAGTGATACACTCTGCCCACTACCAAATTTGTACTGGCTGCACATTTGACTGTAAACTATACTGATCTTGAACGTTTATGGTTTGAAATGGAATTTGCTTGTTGAAAATTATGTCAGCCATGCGACGATACCATTAACGGTGAAAGAAATTTTAATGAACGACTTGTGAAGATTTGCTCCACAATCAAAATCAAACGAAGAAAAAAAAGCAATCGAATTTATTATTCAGACTTTTCGTGGAAACACGCTGAAATAGGTTCTTTTCGAAAGGAAAAAAAATGATAACCATTGTTCCGATTTTCATATTTAAACGAACAACTTCAACATGCAAAATATTCATTTTAATTCATAATCCGTAATTCATTCGACTCGATTTTTGTGTTTTTATCTTCTGCTTGTTTGCTATTGTTGTGGTCGTTTTTTGTTTAAATGCCAACACTCATAGAATGTCGCTCAAAGTTTATGACATGCAATTATTTTTGATTGGATTTGTTCACGAACAATATCAATTATCCAATTGATGAAAGTCAAATATTTGCACATTTTAGCTGCATGCGTACGATTCATTTGGTTGTTTAATAAGTGCCTGTCAAGCTAACCACAAACGAGCGAATTCCTTTTGCAAATTGGCTCGACTAAAATCCATTGCTTCCACCCTCTGCCTTTCTCTCTCTCTCTCTCTCTCTCTCTTTACGAATGAACGAGTATGTGTGAATATGCAGCAAACTGAGAATGCAGTAAAATACACGCATGAGTTGAGCCAACTATTTTTTTTTTCGTTTGTGCTGTTTTTGTGGTGAGGTGATATTTCGAAGAAAGCGAGCGAAAAAAATTAGTTATATAAAATGGAATGACGCAAACGTGTCAACTGATTATTTGCAGCATGTAAATATACTAATTCAGTGGAGCACACAATTGAATGGCGTGCCGAGAAACTATTTGGTGTTCACAATTTGCTGATTAACTGTTTTTGTTCCGTTGTTCACTCCGGTGTTTTCTTTCCTTTTTACACCATATATTTTCTGCGTTTCTCTTTTTTCTCCACAGCTCAATGCAGCACAATAAAAGAGGTAATATAATGAAAGCATTTTGTCGAGATTTTTCTCTCGTGAGTGCATTTTTGTGATTGCGTTTGAGCGGAAAAATTAAAATGGTCGACATTTGACCCAGTGCAACATTTTTCACTTTCGATTTGTGTTGTCACTTGATCCTTGCCATCATTCGCATTCGTCTTTATAAATTGTAGCTCGTGTGTATGGCATTTCGTGGAAAGTGAATTAATGTGCATACAGATCGCACGGAAACACCGACAAAAACGGTGGTACACACACACGAGTATAGCACTAACACATACATAAAGCTTAAAAGCGATTGCAATTTCAAACAAAGTGTTGATTTTGTTATTCACTCCATTATATTGATGTACTCAAAGGGCGCGCAAAGTTGTCCATTTTTCTTTTGACTTTGACTTGCAACGAAAATAAAACCGCTCTCTCTCTCTCTCTCTCTCTTTGCTGTTTCCCATTTATCGCTTTCCGCTTCTATCTCACACAACGAAATGGTGAAACAACAAACGCAAAACAACATACATGCCATAAACAAGAGAAGAGAAGAAAAACAACTCCGCATCGAGAACAAACCTAGCTCCTATTCTGAAGAGTAAAAAGCGCGCACACACACACACACACACTCAATCGCTGTGAAAGATAAAATGAAAGAAGAACGAAATGGAATTTAGAAAATGTCTCTGTGACGGTGCCTTCTTATAAGCGAGTGTGTCATGTTTCAGAGGCACGAATGGTTCGTGTTGGAATCACAAATTATAGGCATATTTTCGACTTTTATAAAATTTTAAACGTGTTTGTCGTCGTTTAGCTTGTCGCAGTACTTTCAAATGATGGTTGTCACGGAGGCCAAACACGATAAATCAAAATCAACATATATATTTAATGGCAAAAATGGCCTTGTTCAGCCAACGCCTGGATGGCGATTCGTTTTTTTCCAAGAATTTATCCTTGTTCTTCTTGACGTTCATCTTTTAACTTCTCACCATTCAAAATGATGCTACTATTCATTGGCTTTTCATTTATAACTTTCTCTCGTCGCTTTTTTGCTCACTCACACCCTCACCCTCTCTCTCTCTCTCTCTCTCTCTCTCTCTCGCTCTCTCTCTCTCCTTTTAGTCTTTTGCGAATTTGTCTTCATTTCGCTAGCGCTTCGTTCTTTATTTTGTTTGATTCGGTTTCTTTTTATGTGCCAGGGTTTATCTGTGTTGCCAGGTACACATTCAAAGTGCACAGAGTAATATGGCACCAGCAAGAAAAACAAGAAGAAGAATAGAGAGTGAGGAAAACAGTCTTCATTCTATTGCTATGTGTTTTTCTCCTGTGGCATTTGTTATTTTAGCCTTCTGCAACACGCATCCCTTCCCCCTTTATCTTACTTGTGTGAATATGTGTATGTGTGTACTTTGAAGGAGTCGGGAGCATGCTTTCACATTCAGATGTGAAAATTTCATTCAAAAGCCACATGATGGAACAATAAAAATTATATTTCTTGGCTCGCTGTTGCATGAACGGATGCCATATGGCTGGAGAATCTCCCGCTCGCAAAATAAATTTGAACAACACTCACTCTCTCTCTCTCTCTCTCTGTCACTCTCTTACTGTCTCTCTGCCTCATGCCCTTCTTTCCTAGTCGCTCTCTATCTCAATGTTCCATATCAAAGCGGTCTCGAAAATAGAAATCGGTTCTCACGCGATTCCACTGAAATCACCAAATCTATAGATTAAAAGCACACGTTTGTCACTTGATAATGAGAAAGAAAAAAAAAACGTTGGAACTGACGTCGTCAAAAAGAGCATGGCTTTTTTGTATGTGTGTGTACCACCATTCTTATTACGTTCGTCCCATTTGAGCTTATTTTATATTTCTTTCTAATTATTCGCAATAAGAAAAGTATGCGCGCGTGTGTCTGTGCGCTTTCTTTTTTGAATAATAGCATTTTCATTTAATGAAATATATAATTTAGTTATGTAATGAGCATATACGACTGTTGCCGTGAGCGATTTACATCTATGTATTCACACGTGGAATCCACGACAAAAGCCGAGGCGCTCAAACTCTCAAATGCAAAAAAGTTTTAGTCTTACTCATATAATCTCGCCACGACATTATTGAGGTGGGACGACGTATATCCACGTCATTCCCGAACATGGCAATCGTGCAATGTATAAGCTATCGAATAAAAACGATGCATAGTTCAATCACATCAAATGATGTGAGCTGTGCGCTTTGGCCGTACGTTATATGCGCTCACATCATATGGCATGAGCACTGAGTGTATGTGTGAGTGTACTGAAATATAAATTCCGTACGGTCAGAGCGCACAGCTCAAATCATTTGATGTGATTGAACTATGCATCGTTTTTAATTGGGCCAAACGTACATATAGCTTATACATTGCACGATTGCTATGTTCGGGAATGACGTGAATATACGTCGTCACATCTCAGAAATGTCTTGGCGAGAATATATGAATAAGTAGGATCGTAACCGATTTTGCAATGTGATTGGCAAAGAAATGCCGACGATGAGATGCGGCGTATCATAAGCAAACTATTGAATCAAATCCAAATCCGACTTCTTCTGCATTGATTGAACGTGACTCGCATACAAACGTGAAAATACATGAAATTGTACATTGGCCGGGTATGCAAAATGATCGATCCGGTACCATTTTCACGTATGTTCTACGGGTATGTTTTTATATTGATTCTCCGGCACGCAACACATGTGTGACAATGCAATCACAGACAGCCTCTCGGTAATGTTACCATAAATAAAGCGGTTGAAAAATTCACAGACTAAATAAATAAATAAATTTCTCTGCATCATCATTATTATATTCCTTTCCACTGGCTATTGTGGCGAGGCTTATTACTCAATCTCAATGTTGACAATTCACTGATGAAAATTGCATGAATGAAAAAGTTAGCCACATCGAAAAAAAAGACCATACTTAATTTTATTGCCTCTCATTAATTAAAAAAACTCAAATTGTTATTAACTGTTATTAATTTGTAATTAACTAATTTTGACTTATTTGACTGAGGGTTATAATAGAGGAGTCGATAAATTGGATTAAAAACTGCATTCCACATTTGCGCATATTTTTCAATTCTCGTTTGTTGTGTTTCATCGCTCTCTCTCTCTCCCTCTCTCACTCGTCAAATAAGCATTTAAATGCTTTTCAAAATTGCATGCGACTGTTGCATTTATCTCAATTTCAATTGAAACTTGTAATTTTGGAATAATTCCCCAGTAAACGCTTAATTGCACATGCATTCAAGCTACACATATAAGCATTACAACAACGAAAACAAGTAACACCATCAATTTTGTTGTTGCTATCGATGTTGTAAATGTTACAATCCCTTTGATTCACCGATAATTTGATATGTGAAAAAGGGAATATTTCCGTACATACACGTCTTTTTTCGTTGTTGTTTTAAATTAAACAGAACAGTTAAAAAAAATAACACGAGAAAAGAGGGAAGCACAGTTTGCTTTTCCAACAGCAAAAAAAGTGCCATACTTTTAATAGCAGGAGTTGTATTTTTGTGGAAAAAAAAGATTTATGCAAGTATTTACCTGACAACAGCTGGTCCGCTTCCCAACTCGAATGCAAATTCAACGAATCCATTATTCAAGCTCAGCGATATGTAATCCCCATACTCGTGATGACCACTGTATAAAATCAGCCCATTTTCGGATTGTGGCTTAACAATTATCTAAAATTAAAAACAACACGGTTAAATGCAAAATTGTTATTTATTATTTAATAGGCTTAACGTGTATGTCCCTATCGCTCTCTCTCTCTCTCCCTCTCTCTCTTTCTCTCCATATCGCTCTCCTGCTCTCTAGTTCTCTAGCTCGCTCTCTGTCTCTCTCTCTCTCCCTGGTGCTTATCCGTAGCCGAGAAAATGAGGAATTTAAAAAAAAAAAAATCATTTATTCAGAAACTCCACCATTTACTTAATGACTTTCAAACACTAGCGCTTGATGAGATCGGAGAGAAAAACACATACGTCGTTGTCATATTAATGGCCACAGAAAAGGCAAATATTAACTGTAATTTGCCATAAATATGTTGTGAGTGTGAATTAATTCCATTCGGTTCCTTAAAATAAACATTAAACGAAATTGTAGTCATTATTCGTTCTCGCCGAGCGTAGCCAGGGTAGTTTGTTGTTGTTGTTGTATTTCAAGTAAAAGACAATGCATTGAGTAAATGCCACACACAGTTCAAATATTTGATGATGAAAACGTCATCCGATTAATTTGATCGAAGCGTATCCAAAGTATCCTTAATAGTTGGTCAAATTGAGCTGTTTTCTTCAGCAAACAACGGCTCTCACATGAAGTGCCGATATTGCTTGTTTTGCATCTGAATCACTTTCCACATACAACCTATGTGCATGTGGGTGGGTACGGTGGTGTTTGTGCACTTGGTTCCGGATGAAATGCGCTTTCATCATGATGTGTTTTATATTGCATATATGCGCGTGTTGTGTGCTCCGATCAAAAAGTGATTTAATTAAACCACATGTCCACTGGATTTCATTTTATATTTATATGTTATATATTTTGCAGAGCAGATGGACGAGAGAGAGAGAGAGTGAGATCAAGACAAAAAACGAAAAGTAGCAACGATCAATTATGAATTTTTCCCTGAATTGAGCATCGACGGGGAAATAAACGGTCAACATAATTTAATGAATGGAATGAAATAAAATGAATTTCTGATTTAATTAGGATTGAATCCGATATTTAAGCCGTCTTTCTTTGTGTGTGTGTCTCTCTCTCTTTTTCTCTCGCATTTGCTATCGCTCTCAAATGCACTCAGGTGAATGGAACCAAATGAAAGTGAAAAAAAAGAATAATTCGATTCATATAACTCATATTGCCATATATAACACAAATGAAATAAAATAATTATTTTATTACAACCGGCGCTGTGATTTTCCACTTCATATGCTTCAGCCAACGAATATTGATGTCATCGCATAATTCACCACAACACCAAATACAGTTCAAATAAACATGCAACAGCGTTCAATTTCGAGAGAAAAAACAGCGCGAACCACTAGCGGTAGAATGAAAGCTTTCTGCATGGTTTACCTCTTGTGTGTGTGTGTGTGTGTGTGTGTGTGTGTGAATTCAGCGCCAGACCAGCGCTCCATTTCCCACACCACAGGGGAAGAGAGACAGGAAAAAGTGCAGCTTGAGCGCACGGGGCGACAAAAACACTTATGCCATGAGATAATTTATAATATATAAATACGAAAATTCATAAATAAAATCGAATAAAATAACGTTTTACGTTTATGAAAATTAATTTTGGGTTCCGGCAATAAATTTTCATTGAATACGATATCGCACGATCCGGCTTTATTACAGTTTACATGTTTTGCGCTGTAAAGTGAACAGCAATAGCAATAGCAATACACACACACACACATCACATAAATATAAACCCACCATACTCTCGATGCTGTGCGTCTCGATGCATATTGTTCTTGCAATTGCCGTGTAATCATTTTACCTGACTCTGCGATTTGAGTCATTTTCATTCTCGTTTTTATATATTTCCCCGCTCTCTCTCTCTCTTCTCCCGGCGGTTGGTTAGTTAGGTTGTTTCACCTCTCTTCAATGGCATACATTTTTTTTTGTCGGCTGTGCAATGTGCAAACATTGTGCATACTTTTTTTCTGCTTGTTGATACTGTGCTGTTGTCACTGAATTTACCAATTTCGCTTCTATTACATTGATGCCTTGGCATCGTCTCACTGTCTGTCTCTCGTTGGCAATGTTCACGCGCGTTGAGCGTGTGGTGTATCATTTGTGATGTTGCACATTCGTTGTCGAAGCGTTGTTATCCACTTTAACTTTATCATTTTTTGACAATTCGCTTTTAATGTGATTTCTTCTTCGTTTCTTCGTTTCTTCGCTTTTTTGTATGTGTGATGCCTTTTTTTTGCTGGTGTCGCTGTTGCTTGGTTTGCTTGAATCAAAATTCTGCTCATCCATTTTTGAGCGGTTTCGTCACGGGAATTCATCGGGGTTCGAAGTTAGAGATGTTGATGTTGTGTACGAGCATAGAGCTTAGCATGAATTTCATCGTAACGACTGAAAAACATATTGAATCGGACAGACCGACCGGATGAACGATAGAGTGGCACAATTGGAAAGGAATTGTCAAGTGTGTTTCTTATGCTCTGTTGTGCTGTACTGTGCTCTGTGTATGTGTGTGCGTATCTCAATTGAAACGCGACGAAAAGCTCTAATTGATTTATTGCAATTTCGTTTGCAATGTGCCCGAAGAAAGGCATGATGGAAACAAATCGCATTTAAAAAGGGTAAAGCAAATCTGGCACCAAACGAACGAACGGACGAAAAAAAAAGAACCGAAGCACACGGCACCTCAATATTACCAAAGCACAGGGTGTAGACTTTTCGAATGATGTTCACTTCCTGTTCGATTTTGTTGTAGTTTAGAGAGTAGTACATTTGGCAGATTTGCACTTTTTTTATGTACTCTGGTGTTGGTAATTCAGACGCTTTGTTGGTTACATCACACGAGTCTCAAGCTGTCTCATTTTTTTTTGTGTGGAGCGTTAGCTTACTTGCTTGCTGCTACCACCACCGTCGCCGTCGTCGTTTGAAACTGTTGTAACCGAAGGGTGTTATACAATATATATATACGTTTTTTTTTTTCTATTCTTCTGTTTGTGTATATGTGTGTGTATTGCCATTTTTCTCGAACGCAATGCCATTGAAAAGAGTGGGATATGTGTGCCCGTTAGTTTGAATGGTGCGCGCATTGTTTTAGACAACGATCCGACTACAAATTTCGTAAAGAAAAACCATTTACATGTCATTCCGTCACTTGTTGTTTTGTGTTTTTAAATCGAAACTTTTGATAGAATAAAAGGCGGAAGTCACACCAAAATTCTATTAGTATGGCAAATGCGAAAAGAATAGCGTTCCCCGCCTGTGCTTGTATGTGTGTGTGTGTGTGTGTCTTGCACACAGTATAGCGACAGCAGCAATGTGGCAGTATCACAAAGGATATTTTTTTCTACTCTTTTCCTCTGCTTTTTCATTAATGCGAGATTGTAGCGGCCATATATCTTTTTCGTAACATTCATTTCGTCGGTTGGTTGCTTGGTTGGTTGGGAGAATGCTGCACACAATGCATTGAGACTGAGGGTTTTCTCTGTGTCAGTTGTATTTTTTATTATTCGATGCGATCCTCAACTCCCGCAAAATCTCTCTCCCATACTCATTCTCTCGCACAAATTCCGGAGATACAATTACTGTGATACAAGCGCCAGCACTCCAAGGAACAAGAAATGGCCTCACCATGATGTGCCGATTTGGGCGAGATGTGTGTTAGATGTGTGTTGTGTTCGATTGTGATGATAAAAATACATAGCACATATTATTGGCAACTGAGTGTTTTATATGAAAACTTTTTCTTTTGCTGCTTTGCTTTGCTTTGTTTACTCGCTCACAACAATCTCAACACAATGCGCACATTTTCAACATCCCAGTATAACACTGACTGACTTGTATATACAACAAATAAAAAAAATAAAATAAAAAAAGATACAGACGAGTAACATAAAAAAAGATCGAGAACCGAAAAAAAGTCGAACTGCAAAATAAATTGATTCTGGTGGCAAAATTGTAAAAATTGTTCCTGAGATGCGGAGGAAAGTGCATCTGCACACAAAAAACGACAGATAGAAAGATAGAAGGAGAGAGAAGGAGCAATAAAGAGAGATAGATAGAGTACATAAGTGGCGAATGAAAAGGGTGAACACGATTTTTGGGGGTTATTGAATCGACGACGACGACGACGATGATGATGATGATGACGATGAAAATGCTGGATGCGGATACACTCACGGTTTGAAGTTTGAGTTCAAAGTCTGAGATCAACGATTATTATTATCTACCGGTATCCGATTTTACATTCAAGTTTTGGGTTGCCTTTGAAATGATTTTGCCTTTTTGCGCAAATAAAGCAAAACAAAATCAAAGCTCTGCAAAACGAATAAGCGACGTTGCTGATGCCGTTTTTTTTCTTCTTCATCATCTATCGCTTACTTTTTATAACAGATTCATTCGTATTTTCCGCTTTGATTCCATGTGCGAGCGTGCGAGCGTGCGAGCGTGCGCTTCCTTCTTTTTTTCTCTTCGCGTCGCATTTGATCAATTGCCTTCGGCTTACTGAAGTAAGAAATAAGAAAATAATTGTGGATAATATTTGCCGATGAGAGAACGCCTAATCGCCAATTGGAATAACGTCTCGTATGTGTGACACAAAAGCAACCATTAGATCAAAGCAATTCGTGCGAGTAATTCAAAATAAAATACGTATTGTATGCCGAGTTCATCTTCGATAATTTTCTTCTTTTTCTTCTCTCATTCGATTGTTCAGTCCGGCTGCGTTCTTTCTTTCGATTTTTCTTCTTTTTTTCTCGGTATTTTGCGTACATTGGCAAGTTTTTTGGACCAGTTTCTTCGTCATAGCAATGTTGTGAACAGAGATTTTGCAGCGTTGCTCATCGTTGCCACTTCATGCACTCGAATTTGGTGCGAAGTGAAAAAGAAATCTACATGATTTCCTCCATTTCGATTTTCGTTATATTCGGTGTGTGTGTGTGTGTGTGTTTTTTTTTTCTTGTGCCCTTTTTTCGTTTGTGGCACAGATCACGCGCTCACAAAGGGCCATTGTTCACACGTCTTTCTCGCGTTTGCTTTCCTTCGACTCGGCATTTTTTCTGTTCCTTACACAGTCGGTCTGTGTCTCCTTCATCACCCCATCCTTCTTTCTCTTTCTCTTTCTCTTTGCTCGACTGTTCAAATAATACGTGCTGGAGTGTGTGTAAATTACGATGTCATATTGGTGTTCCAGCGATAGTGTTAACGATGTAAATTTTTATTCACAGAGGTAACGCCATATATACACGTTAGACCATTGACGTAAATGTTCCGGTGGTACGTCCTGTGTGTGTGTGTGTGTGCGGGAGTGTAAATCTGTCTTTATATTAAACTGAGTGTAAAAATGAAATGATTCGAATAGAATATAATGATTCCATTTCAGCTGTGCTCTCCCTTTCTCTCCCTCGCAGTTTGAGCACTTTTGTACGAGTTGAATTCGAAAAAGGTCATGTTCTTATAGGAACTTCACGACACATTTATTTAGGACCTTTACTTAGTTTAGCTTCAGTTTTTTTCCCTTTTTCGCGTTTTTTTTCGCTCCCCTTTTCTTTGTGTCATTCGATCCGTTCTGTTCTACAACGGTTGTGTTTTTTTTTTCTTGCATTGTAATCCAACTAACGGATGAAAAAATTGACACATTTTCCGAAGCGAAACAACCGAACGGAGAAACAAAAAGAAGTAACTCTATTAAAATTGCGCTTTGCAACAGAAAAAGATATCCAACGAAAAACGAAGAGTCCATTTCAAAAGCGACATGCATAAATAAACAAATTGTGGGTGGAATAACCTAGTCTGACATTCCATTCCATCGTTGTAGCGAGAGAGAGAGAGAGAGAGAGAGAGAGAGAGAGAGAGCGATAGAAATGATAAAAAGGGGACCTATGTTAGAACGTCTACTAAAAATTATTCTAGATGACACAGTAATCACATCAGTTTTTAATCTAAGGCTCTTCGCTACGAAAATTCCGTTTTAAGTGAGATTCCATTCAACGTGCGTGCTTTTTAATTTTTCCTTTCTTCATCACCATCAATAAAGCATGTTGTTGTTTTGTCATTTTACACGGTCGGCGGTTGATTCGATTTTGGTATCGCCTGTCGTCAGTTATTTCGTCATCACCGAATGTAATCAACGGCACGGGCAATGGCACTTGATGCCGTGAGGTGAATAGAAATGATTTTAATTTAGTTGAACTGCATGTAGACGCATTTGAGAATCATAAATTACACATGCGACAGCAATGTCAAAGCCAGGGCATTCTTTTTATATGCACATATACAACGACGCACATTTCTATCTATCGTAGTATGCACGGCATAGCAGAGAAACAAAGAGAATGAGAATGAGAGTGAGAGTGATGGCATGGCGCGCACTTTAAGTATATTTTATGGAACCAACTCTTCAAGTGGATTACCGAAAATTCAATTTGCACCATTTTTCAAATATCCCAGTGCATGTATTTATTTTAATTATCGCATAGGCGCACAAGAGAAGGAAAGTAATCTGTCAACAACATTAGGACCATCAAACCGGCACAACAGCAGCCAACAAACAAAAGTGATGTGAACAAAAAAAGAGCCCGAACTCAAAATTCTGTTTTATTCAGCAACAACAGCAGCAGCAGCCGCAGCATCAGCGTACTAATAGTCCAGAAGAGCAGTATCAGTGGTGCTCACACATTGGCGCATATCGACCGACTGCTGAGGGAAAATGGCTCATTTGTGCGTCCCGACACAGTGAGCGAGCTATCGTGGAGCGACCGAATGAGAGAGCATCGGGGCACACTTCGCAGCATGCCTATCTCTAGTAGTATATGTGTGATAAAAGTGAAAAGTAAATTGACAAAAATTACCAACCTGCAACTCAAGCCATATTAATGCAGTGTCTCCCAATGGAGCGAATCGCAAATATGATGAACCATTGAACAACGGTACCTGCGAATGAACAAACGAACAAATAGTTAGAATACGAAATTTGATATTTGGTTATATTTTATGTATGTGAAGATGATGACTGATGACTGATGACATTTTCATTCGAATGGCGTACGCTGTGCTCGTCAATCCTGACGTCCTTGCCTGCCGATTTCTCTGCACAAGCATAATTTCAGAGTGAATGTGAGAATGTAGCAATTCGGAGCACAGGCGAATGTGAAACATGTTTACTATTACTAATCGCAGTCTCGATAGTGTGTATAGACACACAAAATAATGGTTGGTACAGAGCGGACGAATGAATGAGTGAGTTTGTGAACGGGGGAAAGGCCGAAGAGAGAGAGAGAGAGAGAGAGAGAGAGAGTGCTTGCGTTTGGCTGACTGGCACTGTCTGACTATGAATTGGGCCGGCCCGAGAATGAGCGACGCTATGAATATGAGTTTTGAGCGGATATTGGACGGGTAGCAGTAAATTGATGTAAATATGTACATTTGCGCCGAACCCTACGTACGTTTATTGGATGCTCCAAATACCACCGAAGCCATATAATGAATTTTGTATGAATAACCAAAGTGAGAGAAATATGTGTGTGTATGAGCGAACGACGCAAATGCAAAGTCACCTGGGCCAATTATCATCTATGGATACATGTTACACTTAACGCTTTAATAAAACCATCTCTTTTCAATATTTGACGAGGTCTGAAGCACAATCTGCTCTACCGTCTACCAACTCAGACCGCTTATCAAGCTCTTTCCATTTCCACGTCGATCTATCTCTCCCTCACTCATTCACTCACTCACAAGAGCACTCGTCCGCTCTCATTTAAACTTCGGATGTAATAAAACGCAAAATTGTTTCTAATCGTCGAAGCGACGACAGACATTTTTGCGCCAAAGATTCCAAAATATCAACGAGACAGTTTAATAGTTTTACTTAGTTGAAAATTAATAGGACTTCCGTGAATCGTTTATGCGGCAACATTTTGTTGAAAATTGAATTTCAGTGTTGTTTGTGTTATAAATGTCATCAGCGATGATGCTTTTTGAAGGCTATGTATCTGAGCATCCAGCGCTGTACATTGTACATGGATTTGGCCTTTGGCAAATCTTATGTCGAAAATGTGCTAAGCACTTTGAATGCAATGTTATGTTAAGGTGGAATTTAATTTGAAAAATTACCTGTAAGTCGAGTCTCATTTCACACAGATCACCGCCAAATCCAAGCGGGCACAGACAAATCGCTCCTTGGTCGGATGGCAAACACTTTCCACCGTGTCTGAAAAATTTATTAATATTTTAACTTAAAATTGGAAACAAAATAAATCTCAAAAGAAATAAAATTATACAAACCTGCACGGAAATCGGCCGCATCGATCAATCACGCATTCCTCTGCAATGGCAAAAACAATTTAAAACATTCAATTCAATTCAAATTGAGCTTAATCTTTGAAAATTTATTCTGATTCATCGCTTCGTTTTGCTCTTTGTTGGTTTTTGTTTCGAGCGTATATATGCGTATAAATAGAAAAAGAGTGGCAAAAGTTTCCAGACACCCAAGCACAAGTACAAACACAAAAGCTAAAGAAGTTCGATTACTCATCATTTGATCGACTAATGCAACATACAAAATGAAATCAGATGGCATTTCAAGTTGCAATTCAGCGAAAAATTGCGGAAGAGTGCTTCAACAAAAGTCGCTTGTGTCACAATAAAAGCGATAAATTACGTATCATTTATTTGATTGGAAATTAATGCTATGTAGTGGGATATCGTTCACGTCACAAATCATAAATTTTATTCCAGTTATAAGTTTTTGGTCGGTCCATTTTGACTTTGACTCTTTCTATCTCTCCGTTTCTTTTCCTCTTTGCTCTTTATTCTTCTTCAATCTTTCTTTTTTGCAATTTTAAATTGCACTTCAAATTTTTCGATCGTCTCTTTAACTTTTTAACCGTGTGATTGCTTGCATCGTCTGATTTTTCATCATAAATTATTATCAACTCACGGTGCAAATGGCAGTTTTGAACGTCGTCGTCGTTGTCGTTCAACTGCAGCAACCGCAAATATGTAATGGATTCTCATTTCAATTTTCATAAGGAACAAAAACTGAATCGAGCAAAACTTTCGAAAAGAACAAAACGCAGAGAAAAAAACAAGAAGAAGAAAGAGCACACACACAAATGAAAAACGAAAAAGCATCCATTGCACCATATACGCTTTCGTCGCATAAGCGTAATACATGCACATGCTTTTAAAATGAAGAAGAATAGTGAAAAAAAACTCGTCCAAAGCCATTGCAACTCTTTTTCAAGATGACAAAAGAACATTTATTGCATTTTACCGGTGCATTTCTGTGTTTGTCTAAATGCGTGCGAATGATACACGAGTTCTGCACCCAATGATTATATATGGGTGCATACACCATACGTTAAATGCATGTTTGCTTAGTGGATTTCTTTTGCTGATTATTAGGATAATAAAAAATGACGTCGTTAAGTCGAAAAGGCTCGATCTGATATAGGTCTCTCGTTCTTTTGTATATGTGTGTATGTATGATTGTGGTGAGGTGCAGAATATTACATCATCACATTTGGTAAGGGAAAAAAATATTGCAGTGACAGAAGTGAGACTTTTGTAGAGAAAAAAAAAGAGGTAAAGGTCGACTGCAGAAAAAAAGGCAGAGAAACTTAAAATTATAGACAAACTTTTTCATTAGCATATGAAAGTGTTTTAAGTTACCCCAACAATCTTTACCGTAGAAGTTGAGGAATTGCATACATGTAATACGGGCACCGTTACGGCCACGACGTGAGAGAGAGAGAGAGAGAGAGCTGTCAAGTGAAAATGAGGTAGAGAGAGAGAGAGAGAGAGAGAGAGAGAGAGAGGAAAGGGAAAGCACGGCTATTGCTGGATGTGATGCGTTTTCAAGTTTGAATGAACGAACGTGTACGATGTATATATCATGGGGGATCAGGAGATGAAAAAAAAAACAACGAACGACAGAGCAAAAATGCATACTCAACCAAAAACCAAAGAACAACCAACAATACCGCATAGTCACACCTTGCAACCAATTTATGTGTTTCATACAAATACCCATACATATATTTGCATATGACACTTACGATTGGCTGGTTGGTTGCTCGATTTTATCCGCTCATTTTTTTTCTCCACCTCAAACATTTTCTCGCTCATTTTTTTTTTCGTTTGCCATTGTTTCTTATTCACTTTAGCGTGTCAGTCATTTTCATATTCGCTCACGCTTCTTCAAAATTCACTCCACGGCCGCAAATTCCGCGGTTCGATGACGCGCAATTGCGAAAAATGCATAATGCATATATAAACTTGGTGCGCTCAAATAAAACGTTTTACCTTTTTTTTCTCTCTCGAAAAACTGGAGATAGTATTAACATGATATATGTCTGTATTTTATCGTTGAACACGGAAAATCATTCCACTTTTCTCTTCGTCACCTCATTTTTGACACAGTTCCAGCTCATAGCTTTGCTTATGGACGGAAATTCTATTCGCGATATAATGGTGTGTGTGTGTGTGTGTGTTTCTGTGTACTCTCGACACGGTACCCATACACTTTACATGGACATGGCAGATATTGGGCAACTCATTCATGAAGCAAAATCCGAAAGAGATTTAGATTTGTTTGAAAGATCCGTTTGTTTTGCCGTTATTTTTATTGCTAGAGTTCTTTTGTGATTTCAGCAATCGACCTGTGTGTTGATTTATGGCCGTTGTGACAGCATACCATAGTGTGATGACGTAAATTATGTGCCCATTTTCGATGAGGCATAAAGTTATTTTCCATCACTAAATCGAATCGATTTTCAACTTAATTGATACATTATTCATTATGATGGCAACTGTTCACAATATTCACTGGCTAATTGATTGCACTCGATTCAAATGAATGATGCAGTGCTATGTGTTCGTATGTGTGTATGTATGTGCATGTGTGCATAAAATAGGCCAGATAATCATTTAGAGCTTTAGATGCCAATTTCATAATTGAAAACTTTTAAGGTTAACCTAATATCAATGCACATTAAACCATTCGATAGCCAAGTGTTGATTGAAAAATTCACCGGAATTTGTAATCGATTTCTAGATATTGTTCGGAATTCACACATAATGAAATTTTCGGATAATGGACCAAAATACACGAACACATACTTCATACGTACAGCATTTCCACACAGAAATTCGTACGGGGAATTTGTATCGTTTACCATTCTTATGCTCACACTATTTGTGAGTTCACTTGGCTTAAGTGGTTTTTTTTTCTCAACATATTTTTTCTGCAACTCTCATCTCCGTATCGGTATGTTGTATGTGTGTGTGTGTATCGAAAGGATTCAATATATTTTTGCAGGAAAATATGTTGGAGCATCGATCTCAGACACCGACACAGACAAGCAAAATGTGGTCATAAAAAGCTTCATATAAAATTGATAGTTTATTGCATTTGCTACAAAACCGAAATGTACATCGTACGCCTTTTGTCCTTGGATGGGATTTATCCTTCTATTGAATTTACATCTCGGGTCTTTGTCTGTGTGCGTGTTTTTGTTCGTATGCTCTCTCTCTTACTTGATGCCGACATTATGCTTGTGCTATCTGTTTTCCGTTGGGTATACACACATCGCACTAGTGTTGAATGTCACAAAGCCGGAGAATAGAGCGTATGAGATGAAAAAAAAAATATTTGGAAATAGAAAACGGCAAGTGAAACGCCAAAGGCCGCTGAAATAGCCATTTTTCGCATAAGTGTGTTGTGCAGAATCATTTATGGCTGTTGCCGGTGTGATTTGAACAGTATTTTCATCATCGTTTCATATTTCGGGATCGTTTGCTCATCTATTGCGTCCTCCCTATCTTCATATCTCTCTTTCACCGCTCCTCTCTACCCGCACACTGAACAATATAATCGGATGTGACATCGGTCCAGAGCAACTACAACTGAAAACTATATGGCACTGAGAAGAACAGAGAGAAAGAAACCGTGATCTGCTCCGAGTAAATATGAAGACATGACGATGCAAAGTAAATATAAAAGCAGTCGACGCTTTAATAGATCAATATACTTATCCCGCTTCCTTGAAGCTTCATACTAGCTCACAAATGGAGTGGTAATATTTATTTTTCGGTGTGCATGTGTGTTCTGTGGTAGATTTAACGCGAAAACGCATGTTTAGCGATGAAGGCGAGCAAACAGTTTCTCGCAGTCGGTTTTTGTGTACTTTGCAGGTAAAACGTATATATATATGTGTACCGTTTTCAAACCAAAGCCAATGAATTACATTCGGGCGATACCTTAATACAGCACAATGAATTATGACGACGACGACGATGACGACGACATCGTCGTCACTAAAAACATTATTGGGCTATTATAACTATTGTTGGGCTACCGCGTCGCGCTCTTTCTCTTTTTTTTCTGTATCTCTTTCTTTTGCTTTTAAATTGTGGACGATAACGCGTTACCGACAAAAAACACTGTCTACTTCGAGCAGGTAGCGAAAAAAAGACGAATAAAGTAAGGTTGTACATAGAATAGCGCCACTTTTCACTTGGATCTTTCTTAGAGCCGTGGCTTTTTTTCCATCCCATTCATACAGCTGCTGAAATGGATCTTGCTGCAATTTATATCCTCTCATTGCAAACATTCATTTTCATGGATAAAATGGGAAACAAGAAAAGTTATCATATTTACAGTGCCTCACAAGTATATCCACATGCACATCCATACGTATGTTATGTATATAGAATGAGAGTGAACAAGCGAATGGGAAATAAACATACGTTCGCTTACATAGCGACCTGTTATTTTAAGGCGCGTATACCCACAATCTTTGTAGATGACTTAACGCTTAACGCATGGGCGAAAAGTGATTGTAGAAATATTTTAGCGAAGCGAACAAAGTCACCCTCACACGCACTCATACGCAAACACACTTATACATTGTTCAAATTGTGTTGCTGTTCGCTTCTGTGTGCACTGTACCATGAATTATGAATGCGAAAAAATCTAGTGAAAATTATCTAAGGCAATTCTTTTCCATTTATTTGGCTCGGGCAATTTTTCTCCATTTGGTAATTTTGAATTTTTATGTTCCGAAATGAAAAGAAGTGAGTGACGGTATATATTGCCACGTAGCCAGGGCTTCACGAAATGTTGTTGTTCGCTGGTGGTGCTGCTTGAACGCTAAAGCACACACACACACACACACACATCAAAAATCTCCCTCGCAATTGAGCATTCAACGTTATTAAGACCTTGATTATGTTAATAAATCAAAATGGCATATTATACTTCATATTTCGCGTACAGCAAATTTTTTTCTCCTCGTCTTCTTTTTCCTTTTCTTCTGATATTCGTTGTACGTGCATAAGTATTGTGCAAAGTTGATGTCTACGGTCGATATGAACCCGAAACCATTGTGTTTCGCATTTCATAACGTCCAGTCGAAAATCATTAAGTCCTCACGAAGTTCTTAACGCTGTAAACGGCGTTTTCAAATGAACCCATTACGGCGAAACGAATGGAAAATTAAAAATGTACAATTCTCGGTCGGTCTTTGCAACAACGCGTGAATCGTGTGTGTGTGTGTGTGTGTATGTGTGTGAGAGAGAGTGCAAGGCACATCCATAATGATGGTCAAAAGACGAAGAGTGTGAGAAAATACACAGCCGAGCAAAAAAGAGTGAACAAGAATATGTTGGCTGTCAAAATGAGAGCCGAAGGAAAAAAAATTGTTGTAAGTTCTAGTAATACTTCCTTTTATAAATAATTTTATAGACCGAAAATTACTCAGAGTCTAAGGAGCGGAATTTCACGGTTGATTTTTATGCCAAAGTGGAGAAAAGGAACAAAAATCCTTACGAAACAATGTGCAAGGATCCCTTGCATGAGGAATTAATATTATTTATTTTTTTGAGCTTATTAAAACGGCCAAGAAGAAAAAAATATGTGAACCGACACTGAAAATCCGGAACAAAAACCTAAAGTACTCGATCACACTCAATATTATAGCGACATCTATTATTAAAATAGCTTGTAGTAAACGCATTCATAGCAATTCACTGTAGTTGCGATGTTACCTATTAAATTCCCCTGTGGTATATAGTTAACAAGTGTCAAACATGAATGCGTCAGTACTACAAGGAAATTTAATAGGAAACATCGCAACTGCAGGCAAATGCTATAAATGCATTTACTACAAGCTATTTTAATAATAGATGTCGCTATAATATTGAGTGTGATATGTTTTGATTCCATTCTTCAATTTTAATTGAATGTATCGTGAGATCAACGAAGCAGAACTTCTCAACTCCAATGGATTGGAAGCCGTTGAAATCAATATTGACGTCAACGAAACAAAAAGAACCGATAATACCTCAAATCAATTAGTTGAAATTCAAAGCAATTTTGATTCGTATGTCTGATGTTCTCTGTCGCAACCGCCACCGTTGCTCACAATATGTTTTCTTTCCATCGACAGCACTTGTCTGTTACTAAAGCGCCACCACCATTCTATTACTTGGTTGATATTTGAATTGGTTTTAATAACGAGCATTATCAGCATTGAAAAAATGGATTTACTATTGACGTCTTCCACTTCAATCTATTTTCCTTGATACGCTCGCATCTTCTGATACCAGTTTGTTCTTTTTCTTTATGGTTTTTTCCCCTCCTTTTTCTCATGCGCTTAATCGGGAATGCCTGGGTACATGCGTTGCATTTTTCCCAGTATTACCGTTATTTCGAGATGTAATCGCTCGTTCTCTTTTCGTTTCGCTCGCACACTCTCTCCGTTTTCTTCATCTCTACTACATCAATGCTTGCTGCTCGTGCTGTTGCTGCCATGGGCGCCTTAGCATTGTAAGACGATAACACATCGCACGAGTTATAACGTTAAACTACTAACTGATATGCTATTGATGTGAACTATTCGAAATGTGAAATACGAATATAAATGCGAGAAACCCAACAAAATGGAAAATGAATGCGAGAATCGTATGGATTTTTCTCGTTTTTATTTTGCTCTTTTTCTTTATTGCTTTTAGGTTAGTTGCCTTAAATGTTATTGCAGTCGATTCAATGGCTCTATCATTATTAATAATATAATATTTGAGTGACAAAAACCGAGACAGCAGAAAGAGAGGAAGTGCGCGCGCGTCCAAGAATGAGCCGAGAGAGTGAATGGGAAAAAGTAAGAGTGTGAGCTCTCGCTCGCTGAGATAGAGAGAGAGAGAGAGAGAGAGAGTGAGAGAGAGAGTATGAAACCAAAGCAAGCAGCTTTGCTTTAAAGTACTTTGGCGTTTCTTTTAGCTATTAATGTGTCTCATTTAATAGCTGAATGTATGGGTATAAGCATAAGCACACGATATAGCAATAGCGCAATGAAGATGTAACACAAAAAGCGGTCGACGGCCAAAGTACGACATGAACAAGACTTGAGGGATATTGAACATGAAAGCTCTCGTCGTAACATTTATTTCAAATTAATAATGGAAAATGATGGGTATTGAGGGATAGGCGGAATGCACGTAATCGCTGTTGTTTTCGTTGTTTTCACATTCAATCGCAAAGTGTAATTCAATTTAGGAGCAAAAATTTATGTCGCTTGTACTGCTGCAATGCTATTTTCAGCAGTAAAGTAACAACAACAGCGACAGCAGCAGCATCAGCAGGCGGCCGATGGTTTCGGTTCGGTCGTTGAGTGAACACGCATTATTCTCCATATTTGGTTCGCAATGACACTAAATACTATCAAAATGCTGGCATTTATCGTGGCTCGTACACATCCAGAATTTGCGAGCGAACAGACGGCAGCACGATGATGTGTTGCTTTTGATGGATGTGAACGTATCACATATATACACCCCATTTATGAGCACACACACACACACACACACTTTTGCAGACAATTGAAGCGACAAAACCATAAACAAAACTAATGGAATTGAAACAACATTTAAATCGCTATAAACCATTTTTGCCATTGAAACATATTGCAGCACGCACAACGCGCATAGACGAGGGATCGTCATCAATGGTTGAGTAAATCAAATTCGAAGACTAAGCGACTGAAATTCATTCGACTAGGGGTCGGACGAGAGAATACTACGGATGAACCCAACGCAGGGACGTACGTACTGTTTTGTTTTTTTTCACTTGAAATTAAGTGCTTGCACTTTTCAATGCTTGTGCGATCACATGGTTAAACATATTTACGGACACATTTGATTTGATCGATTTAACTTAAAAGCTCACTCGCCACGTTAATGCTTATGAGCATGTCGAGTAGAAGCCTGTCCCCATTAAAATCCTCTAATCGCATTTTAACGCTTGTATAATTTCATTTTTAATTAGAACGATAGAAATTCGCACACATTCAACTTACTGTTTACTTCAATTATTGTTATATCATTCGAGCAAAAGACTTAGGTTACGGTTGTGTTCGGGTTTTTGTTTTTTATTCGTTTTGACAATGAATGTGATAAATAAAAATTGAACGTGACGTCATTAAGTAATATTTATAGCAACGGTTATCGAACGCGTTTACATGCATGTTTTATCTCGTCAATGCTCAAGAGCAATAAGCCCAACTGTGAACGAAATAGAATGTTTCGCTTTAACATTATGCATACAACAACTTCATGCAACACCAAGATGCGTCGGAGAGATATTAATATTACAATTTATCAATAAAATATTTACGCATTATAAAGTTTATTAGACGATGCTTGGGTGCGATTTTGAGCGTGAACTCATGCTCCGAACTTTGGCAACAAAAACAAAAAATGCATATTTTACAACTTCAAACAAACACAAAACTACAGCGGGTTTTGTGTGTGCACTGTGCTGGTACAGTGTCGCGTACACAAATGGAACATGCTAAATCGGGCTTGAATGGCCCGGTTTTAGTCGGTCTTCTTGTGGAATTATTCACATAAACACGCAAAAGCGTTGGGTTTATAGTTCTCTCATACACCGGAATCAAATATATCGACTTTGGAAGATGTTGTTGGGTATTCTGGCGGTTTTTCCCTCTCTTTATTGTTGCTTTCACTTTGATTGTATACTTACGAATATCAAATCCTTGTGTTATGTCACCGGATGGTGCGGCTGCAAATACGTATTCATGCTCATTCGCAACAAATTTCCGAATACATCCCGTCATACCGTCGGAGACAGGAAAACGTTTCGCTAATCCAGTTATGTTGCCAGTGCCGCCAAGGAAGACTGGCTCACGGAATGTAATGCGTGAGAAGAGACCCTGCAATAACAAGAAGAAACAGAAATAGAAAACACACAATTGAGTATGAATTTTTAACGACACAACACAACCAAACGAATCACATTCAGAAAAAAAAGACAGACTTAAATTGCATTTGATGAAATAAAATCAAATGCAATAATAACAATTAGATAACAATTTTCTGTCTATAGCAAATTGAATAAAGTGATGTGCGAATGCAGGCAGGAACGGGAAGACCGTGAGAGGGAGAGGGAGAGAGCGAAGGAGCGAGGTTTTGCGCGTAATTTGCAATTTGTATGTTGCATGGCACAAATCCAATCATGATGTTAAGTGAGTGGCTTCCTTAGTAAATGTTTATCGACATTGAAAATCGCTTTGGATTTCTCATAAACAGCGTGTAGCGTCTCACTGATTTCGCGCATCATTCGCGCTCATTTATTTCCATTTCCCTCAGTCCCTTTTCGTGCAATCAAACTCTTTCTTCTCGAATCGCGCGATTATAAAACATTTTTATCGACACTATAGAAAAGAACCATCAAATGAATGGGACATTATTGTGGCAACGAGGAAATGCGTGTGCGCGGGCGCGCTTCCTCGCTGTCATGTTTGTATTTGTCGAAGCATTCGTATGTTATTTCATTGCACCGTGAAATTTATTTCCAATAAATGTTTACTTCGATTTTTAATGGCCATGATGTATCACCGGGACGGGACATTCAATTTTATATGCAATTTTGTGTTAACATGAAATAGATTTTTCGCCATACACACACACATCGCCGCCGTTGTTTGTGCACCGGATTGGAATGTTCATGTAATGTACTCGATTGTCGTGTTATGTTTTTGCCTCTAATAAATGAAGTTTTACTAGGATTTTCCGAGTAATTCGATGTGGGGCTGCCGAATAAAGTTGTGGTGATAAGCCAATTGCAGTAGCAATATGAGCTTGTTACCGCCACTGTGTGTGTGTGTTTGCAATACCACTTCGGCCGTTCGAATGGGAATGAGAACGAAACCGAACATAACATTCAATCTCAACATGTCGGAAAGTGTGACAAAAAGTTGGCAATAATATGATAAAATTGAATGATTCATTTCGCAAAAGTTCTTGCAATCTTTTGTGTGTATGGTATTTATTTATGTATTTTTTCTTCTTCTTCGTCTTCGATTTCTCTTCATTTTTATTTTGCTCTTTCAATGCCGGAGACTTTCCTTCCATTTTCCATTTCCTTATCATTGGCAACACATATACGGAGCCATCAATGCGGGATGTGGGTGTATTTTTAATGGCGGGAAATCGAATAATAAAACACATTAAGAGCATAAGATGTGTTCGTTTTCATTTGTGAGTGCTGTTTTCGGCTCGTTCGGCGGCTCATTGTGTGAGTCCTCTTACTCTCGCTTGCAGGCGAAAGGAAAAAACGCACACAATACATACACGCTAGAATTGTTGCGAGTTCGTAAGTTGTCAATGGCAATATGCGTATTTGGTTTTGGTAACATTACATACGGTAAAAGTTCAACACAAAATCGAAGATGAGCAAGAAGAAAAAGCAGAAAAAAACAAGCTTTTAGCTGACACCACCACCACCACCACTACACATAGATTTTATGAAGTGAAGAAAATGTGAGTGAAAAAAACGGAAACATCAACTATCAATCCATTTGAAAGCCCAACGCACAAAGGCGACATTTTTCAATCCTACCCGGATCACATATTCCTATGATAAAGGTATATATCGATTGAAATAGCAGGAATTTGACGTATCATTTATATCCGTTTCCTTTTGAGTATCTTAATGTCGTGTGATGATGCGGGCGGTGGTGGTGGTGATAAAGGCGTAAGGAAAATCTGTCATGCGGAATTTCCTCATCAAATCCACAACCATTCATTGAATGGAATTCTCCTTAATCCATCTTTAGACGTCTCTCTCTCTCTTTCTCTCTCTCTCTCTCTCTCTCTCTCTCTCTCTCTCTCTCTCTCTCT